GAAGAGCGTGGGCCGTGCAGGACAGCGCGCGGCCGCGGATCTCCCGACATGTCATCCGTGCCGGCCTCGGCTGGGTCAAGCATGGGGAAGGGATGAGCGACCGCCGCGCTGTCCCCTGGATTTCATTTCCACGGAGAAGCGAGGCGGGTGCTTCTCCGCCACCTCACTAGCTTTAAACGAGTGGAAACCGCAGACACGGACCCCCAGATTACTTAACAGCAGAGAAATGGGGAGGGGGCTGGGGCATATGGTTTATGAGCCGGGATCCTGGTTTGCTTAAAAAATAATCCCCAATTTTCGGTTAAAAAAAAGTAACAGCAAATCCATGTTTTTCTGTGATTTAACTGAAACACCACTAAGTATATATAGTGATGTCTAATTGTAATCGTGGATGAATGTGGATTTGGGGTTATTTTTTTTACCCGAAAATCGGGGATATTTTTAAAATCGGAGAAAACCAGAATCCCTGTTTATGAGGAATGGCTGAGGGAACTGGGTTTATTTAGTCTGGACAAGATAATTTAATAGCAGCCTTCAGCTACCTGAAGGGCGGTTACAAAGAGGATGGAGCTGGGCTGTTCTGGTGGCAGATGACAGAACAAGGAGCAACGGTCTCCGGTTGCAGAAAGGGAAGCATAGTTGAGATATTAGGAAAAAAACTCTCTCACTAGGAGGGTAGTAAATAGGGTGACCATACGTCTCAGTTTGACTGGGACAGACCTAGGTTTTGAAGGCCAGTCCTGGCCTGTTGGGGAAAATCAAAAAACCAGTCCGGGGCACGGGGTAGTCCAGCAGGGAGGCAGTGCAGCATGGTGTGCCCGGCAGCTCCACCTCCCTGCCCAGCTGTGCCCGCTCCCTTGCCTGCTAACCTCTGCCACTGCCTGCCGCAGCGCTGCTGACTTGGGGCAAGGGGCAGTGTTCCAGATGTCATGGTTTTCCTAGATTTCCTTATGGTCATCCTAATAGTAAAGCACTGGAACAGGCTACCAAGGGAGCTGGTATCAACTCCATCCTTAGAGATTTTTAAGACCCAGGTAGACAAAGACTTGGCTGGGATGATCTAGCTGGGACTGGTCCCGCTTTGAGCAGGCGGTTGTACTAGATGAGCTCCTGAGGTCCCTTCCGACCCTCATTTTCTATGATAAACGACAGCAGAAATACCTTCAATCGCTGATTTTAGAAGCTAAAATATCCTTAGGGATTTGGGTTGAAATGGAGGAAACTTGTTTCGAAAGGAATTTGTGCATGGAAATATAGTTATCTGTTTATCTTCACAGTATAGCAATTTTTAATCAAAATGACAAAGCTACCATTTTGGAATTTTGTAAGGGAAGATAGCCCTTCAAATAACAGAACCCATGTTTTCACTTTTTTAATAGTAAAAATGTCATATTCAGCAGCAGGATTGATGAGCCTGGTTGTAATGCAGAGATGCTTATCTATAAAGGATTGCCTTACTTGTCTGCAACTTCCACTAAAAGTCAGTGGAACTTGGCCTTGAAATGAATCTATATATAAATGTCTTTGAAACAAACTGAACCATGAACAAGCATTTTAGACTGATCACAACTAAACTTATTCCCCAAACAAGTGCACTTGCTAGTCCTATTCCTTTGTGATTAATGCCTTTTCTTCAACTGTTGAATCCATCTCACATTTGGCCTACGGAATCTGGGCCTACCCTGGCCAAACCAGGATATATGGTCACCCTGCGTAAGGGTCCTTCTTTCACTAGCAGCACATATAGCTAGCATGGTTAGGTATGCCAATTGCTGTACCCAACAGCATGAAAGACAAACATCACGTCCAGCCACTTTTGACTCTAGCCCAAATGACCAACTATTCTTTTATAGGTGCATAAGCGAAGCCCGTCCTCGGTAGGAATCTGAAGCAGGACACAAACTCACATCTCTGAAACAGCAGTGAGACACCTTAATTGCTTTGCCACTATATTCAGGTCTGCAGGTAAAAAGACTCGAGTAAATCACAGGGTCCTCTAGTTCTGTTTTTCCCATCAGTCTGTCATTTTACTTGTTTAATCATCCAGTACTCACAATGTATTAGAAGCTTTCCAGTGTTCTCAGCAGAGATATTATTAATATATTTCTATTGAATGCCTATTAGTTCTTGTCTAGCAGCACCAGGAATACCAGCACTCTTTTGTTTTTGAGCAAAATAGGAAAGATAAGTATGGTTCCTTAAGTAAACTGGGTTAGGGCCATATATGAATTTTGTGGGAATTCCAAATAAAGCCAAATGAAGGGAGTGACTTTCAGCCAGGATACTGGGGTACCCTTTGAAGAGTGCCATGAAGTGTGTAGAGATAAGTAGACAAGTAGGTAAGTACAGGCTCAGGCTTTTCCCTACCTGAACTTTCTCCCTCCCCTACCACCCAGTCCTTCTGCAAGGAGGTAAGCATTGTAATACATAAGTTAATTTTTTTAATTTGGTTCCATTCAATTTACAAAAGTTATGGAGGGATGCCTGAAGTCCAAGAAGGGGTGCCTCTGATTTAGTGAAGTTGAGAATCACTGATTTAAGGATTGGAAAATTTCTTCTTTGCAAGTTTCTGGGTACAAACACCCTTTGTCAGGCTTCCTTAGCAAAGAAGATTTTTCCAACTATTTTAGTTGGTCTAATAAACCGATTTTGGATTTATTCAAAGAACCTTGCCTGCCTATGTTCTTAGACCAACACAGCTAAAACCTGTACCCCTAATTTAAGGATTTGTATTTGAAA